GGCTGTGGGATAACTGCTGTTCTGCTCGGGCCCAGCAGGGTTTGATGTAATAAATCCTACAGGGCTGAGAGTTTAAACTGTTTACCTAAACCACTGCTGGATTTGATTTCAGATTTGATTTCAGGTTGTTGACGACGACGATGACGTGGAGAAAGAAGCAAATTCTACCTGAGTTGCATCATCTGTGGCCAAATAAGCCTTTACCTCCTAGTGCGTGTAAGACCACGTCTGCCTTCTCAGAAACATCGTTGCACTTCCCTGTGAAAGTGTGTCATCAGTGTAAGCAGCTTGTCGACTAATTTATTAAATGCCCTCCATGAAAAAAAAAATCCTTTTGCTCTCCCTTACACTGTGTCTTAAGAAAGAAATGGTGGGCTTGAAAAACAGGGAGGTCTCTCTTCGCTGTTTCATACAGATAATTCAAGAGTGACAAAAGAGAAGGCAGAAGTAAAGTTTTGTGACTGTGCAATAGGAATAGATGTTTATTCCCCTAAAGCTCCAAGGGGCTGGCAGGACTCTGCCCCTGCTCTGTACCTGGGGAATCAGGAACGTTAATTTTATCGAGTCTTTTTAAAAAGCTTTTGATTCCTGTTGATTTTTTGTGTGTGTGTAAAAAAGTACCCCATAACTTCAGCTGTTGGTTTCAGAGGATGTAACTCTGCCATCACTTGTGGGAAGTCACCTGCTTGCTCATTGCCACTGTGCAAACAGCAAAAAAAAAACAACAAAACAACAAAAGATGGGAGCTGTTTGTTATAGAAATCATATCTTTTAAAGTAAATGTTAGAAGAAGAGGATCCTGTCAGCTTCAGTAAGTAGAGAGACTAATTGGCTTATTTAGAAGTAAAATTGTTGAGCCACCATCTGTTTAAACATGCAGAAGCTTCTCGAGGACGTAATTCTGCACCTTCCAGAGGGAAGTGCGGTGCTTAAGGGCACGAATTGCGCTCGATGGCGGGGAGAGGGACTGTTTGCTCCTGCCCCATCCTGTTTGTTCTCCGGCAGGACTCGGCTGCCCTGCCCCGCCTGCTGCAGGAGGGGGGCGCGGCACAGCAAACACCTTCCATCCCAGGGAGCAGGGGAGGGGAAACACTGATTGTTCTGGCACTGAAATACGTCAGGCGGGCTGTGCACGGAGTCCTTGTGTTCTCCTGTGTGTGTGGGAAGGATTTCTGCCTGGGGCCTGGCTCTGGCCACGGCTCTGGGAGTGGAAATGCTGTTCCTGCTGTGTGCTGCCCCACTGAGCTGAGCTGGGGGTCATTTCTCGGTCTATGCTCATATTTCCTGCGTGCAAAGGTTTGACAGGGGCGTGTTCCCCTCTCTCACTCCTTGCCAGGGTAATTGTTGCCCTGAGTCCCTCAGCAGGATGGATTCAGTCGGTGGAGAATCTTTTCCAGAGCAGCTCATCAGCATGGGGCAGCCACAAACTTCATGTGGCCTGTTAGAAATCTGAAAATAAATATTTTAGCTAAATATTTCTGCAGCTTTCATGGAGAGTAATAACCCACAGTAGTTTAAATTACCCACTCGGGATTTGGAAATTGGTCTGAAATCACCATGTTTTCTTTACCCAATGATGAAGTACACAGTGCCTGATCTTACAAGAGCATTGATGACGAAATTCTCCTCAAGGCACGCTCAGACTGCCCAAAAGAGAGCTTGTGCAAACATCAGTGCCATGTTCTTCATCAGCAAACCATAGAATGGCGAGTCGTGGGTCTGGTTTCTCAAAAATAGACCTTTTTAGGACTGAATTCTCAATTTAATGCACTGAATAAGCCAAAACCTAAACAGCTGCTTGTGTGGTAAATAAAATGTGCCTATGAAAGACGTGGTGGTCACTCTTCAGTTAAGCAGTAGCAATCTCCTCCAGGTACTGGAAGGATATTTGCAGTCTTGTGTTTAAAGGGGGTTTGATTTGTGCAGAGAGGACCAAATTAAGCCTGTGTGTACAGAGGGTGAAGATCACCTGGTGGTCTTGAGCCTGAAAAGGTTCCATGTCCATCGTGTATCCCGTGTGTCCTCAAGTTCCTCCAGCTCTGCCGTGGGGAGAGGAGGTTGCAACACATCCCACCCTCTGGCATCTGCTCTGCCCTCCCCAAAACTCCTCAGGGCAGCCCAAGGCAATGGGATGAAAGGGGATGAAAGACAGCAGAGGGTGGGAAGTGCCAGTTGTCCCTTGGGAAACAGCACAAACCCCGGGGGTGTTCCCAGCACTGCCAGCAGCCCGTGGGCACCGGTGCTCTGATAGCCCAGCCTGCCGAAACCATCAGCCCAAACCCCCAGGAGCTCGTGGGAACCTCCAAACCCTGGAACAGCTGAGCTCATGGAAGGAATCCCTGTCAGTGAGAGGTGTCCTGTCTCCTCCACTCGCCCAAAAACCCTCTCGTGGGAGTACAGCACTGACTGCTCAGCTTGGGAGTGGGGAGGTGGCCACGTCCTCTGTGGCAGGGACGGACTGTTCTCAGCTCTGTGTGTAAAGAGGGCTCTTCAGCTGGGGGCTTTATAAATATAGTAGTTATAATGACTACTTTAAATAAAGTAAAAAATGGCTGCTCGAAACTATTCTGGTGTGTTTTTAAAGAAAAAAAAAAAAAAAGAAGTCCTGTGGTATTTTTGGTGTGAAATAGCTAAGTGCAGGGTTACAGCCTGTCAGGGAGGCATTTTGTTTTTACCCCTGTCAGAGGAAACACAACATTCCCTTTTCCTAAGCACTTTTCTAGCTCTCCCTCCCAGGAAAAGCTGATTACAGCCATCTCAGCTCCTGTCTCATAACTGTTTGCAGGTGGACACATCTTTTTTGTCAGGATGTGGCTCATCCCAAGTCTCTGGGAGGAACTGCCCTCACATTATGCGGGAGGAAATCACTCACATTACCTGACATTAATCTGGTTATCAGGGATATAATAATATAATCTGGTTATGTATCAGGGATACAACTCTTTTCCAAGGGATGGTACTTTGCAATCTGTCTAAAATTCAGGATTTGAGCCAGAGCTTCTGTTCCAAGTGTTAATTTTAAAAGGCTCCTGGGTGAGAGTTTGGGAAGCTTTGTCACCCTTCTCTGGTGATAAGCTGCACTTTACATCCACACAAACTACTACATGATGGTAACAGCGTGTCCTGCATGTACAGCAAACCTCAGAATAGCAAGTTACACGGTGGGAAAGACTGGCTTTTACAGGCAAAAAAATCAAATAGCCACTTCAGGATTAAACACGAGGAGCTGGATTTCTGTGTGTGTGGAGTCCTGAGGGACCGGTGAGTGCAAATGGAGAGTTACTCTCAGTTTGAGGGGTTCGTTTTTTAACCTGTGGCACAGGTTCAGGCTGTGCAGTTGGGTCTTTGCTGTGCTGCTGACACCAGCTGAGTGTGGGGCATCCCTCCTTACACACCCTAGTGAAGCCTTTCGCTTTGTATCGACATAATGCTGCGTGTTATTTTAGGTTTGTAGCAGATACATGAAATTCCACCAGTGATGAGAAGTCCTGGAGCTGCTGCAGGACAGGGGAAGGAATTCCCAGCACAGAACCAGAGCAGGAGGTGCCTGGGGAACCTGAACCGTGTGCTGGTTCTTTGATGTGCACTCACATCGCTCCTTGTTCTCTGGGCTTTTTAAGGAAATATTTCTTTGTTGACTTTTAATTTAGAGCAAGATAAACTGGAAGGAATGGCATTTTTCATTAAGGATCGCTCTCTTTTGTAGCCTTAGGCTTTTAGTAAGTTTTCCAGCGGGGTTTGATGGTGGCAGTTGCAGGCAGACAGCGTCTCAGCTCTCCAGCTGCAGGGATATCACTCCTTTGTCACTGGTGCCTGGCCCTGGTTTGCTTTGCAGATTCATCTTAATGGATCCTTTCTCTTGCTTCTGAATAGGTGCTGTTGTAGAACAGTCGGAGTAGGAAACCAGAGGCCAGGCCACGTGGATCTGGAGGATTCACGCTGTGTCACGGGGGTACAGGAGGGGTTGTTTGTTCCCTGCCTGAGCTTGGAGAAGCTCTGGCTGTGGAGAGGCCTGGGGATGATCCCGAGGGTGCTGCTCCTGTCTGGCGTCAGTGGGAATTACTGGGGGAGGGGGGGTTATGGGAACGGGCCCACTCTCCTGGCTTTTGGGGCTGGGAATTACTGTGGGAGGCTTCGGGGAACAGACACAACAACCTCCCCTGCACCTCGGGGCTAGGAAATATCGAGGGGGCTCAGGGAATGGTCATTCACCTCCCAAGTTTCAGGGCTGGGAATTACTGGGGGGCTTTAGGAATGGGCACACACCCCCTCCCATTGTCTCTGGGCTGGGAATTACTGGCGGGGTGGGGAGCTCAGGGAATGGGCACATATCCCCTGTGTCTCAGGGCTAGGAATTACCTGAGGGGCTCAGGGAATGGGCACACACCCCCTTCCAGTGTCACAGGGCTGGGAATTACCGGGATTCTCGGGGAATATCCCCTGTATCTCAGGGCTGGGAATTACCAGGGAGGTTCAGGGAACGGACAGCGCCTGTGTTTTGGGGCTGGGAATTACTGGGGGGATCAGGGAACGGGAACATATCCCCTGTATCTCTGAGCTGGGAATTACAAGGGAATGCACAGACCCCCTCCCAAACTCGTGTCTGAGCGTGGGAATTGCGGGAGGGGGCCTCTAGGAAGGGCCACATCCCCCTGTATCTCAGGGCAAGGGGTCACCGGAGGTCTCAGGGAATGGACAGACCCCCAGTCCGTGTCTCAGCGTGGGAATTGCGGGAGGGGGGGCTCAAGGAAGGGACCCACCCTTCCCGTGTCTCAGCACTACCAGGGTGGGGGGGGGGCTCAGGCTCACCCTCCCCGTGTCTCGGGGGGGTGTGTTCCCCTCCCTCCGTGGGAGGAGGCGGCTCCGCTTTGTCCACGCCAGGCCCTCCCCGGGCCCTGCCGGCGGACGCGGCCCCGGCTGCGGCTGCCACGTCCCGGGGGCCGGGCCGTGCCGGGCGGGGCGAGCGGCGGGGCGGGCCCGGGGCCTGCGCGGTGCCCGGGACGGGGGGCGCGGCCCCGGCGCCTCAGACAGAGCGGCCGCCGGGCGGGAGCACCATGTGCGGTGAGGACGGGCCGGGCCGGGCCGGGGGCGGCTGGCAGGGCTGGGCAGGGCCGGCTGTGCTCCGGCCGGCCGGGGGAACGAGGCTCCGGGCGCTGCTGCTGCTGCTGCTGCTGCCGCCGCCTCGGGGGTGTCGAGCGGCGCCCCGGCCCCGTTATCTCGGCTGTTATCCCGGTGTATCCCGGGTGCCATCCCGGTGCCATCGCTCTGGTGGGGGGGGGGGGGGGAGGGGGCGGCTCGCTCGTGTTAATGCCCTGAAAAGGCGAATTGTCACCCAGCGGTGACAGAACGTGGCCCCGGCGGACAAAAGGCCCCGGCGGCTCGGCCGGAGCTGTGCGGGTGTGCTGGGGCCGGGGGGGCCGGGGCAGCCCCGGGCTGTGGGGGCCGGGCTGTGGGGACCGGGCTGTGGGGACCGGGCTGTGGGGGCCGGGCTGTGGGTACCGGGCTGTGGGGCCGGAGCAGCCCCGGGCTGTGGGGGCCCGAGCACCGCTGCTGCCCGCCCGGGGGGCGCAGCCCTGGGGGGATTCCTTTGGGGCGTTACAACTTGTGATACGGGGGGGTTTCACATCGGTTTGATGGGAGCAGGCTGAGGCAGGCGGGGAGGGGGGTCCAGGCGGGAATCAGGAGTGCCCGGGGCTGGGACCAGCTCGGGGTACACCGGCGGAGCCTCCCCGAGCTCAGCTCGGGGCACACCGGTGGATCCTCCCCGGGGGAGCAGCACCTTGGGCCAGCGAGGCTGGTCCTCCTCTCACCGAGGTCCTTTCCACTCCATTTGCTGTATTAGTACAACCACTCCGCCTCTTCTTTTGGACGCAGGAATATCACTGATCCTTTCTCTTTCTCTCCTGTCCTCTTCACGGTTTTTTCCCGTGGATATCTATGCCACAGTGATCTGTTGGTTCTTCTTGTTGTCACTCAGCATTTACCTTCTCTTTTTTTCCGGTAGTTTTATGTGCAAAATCAAAGTGATGCTCTAAGCAAGATCATGGGGTTAGTACCTAGTGTGCAAGTTGTCATTTCTCTCATTGTTTATGTGGGATTGAACTGGTATCACCTTCAAACTCCTCCACTGCCTGGCCAGCATGTCCAACTTCGTGCCCTCTTTCTAGAGCCTCTTTACCAGGGAGCTGGGAATCAGTCCTCTTTGTCAGTCTTCCTTTTGAATAGAACTCATACTGTATTTCTGTAAATTGTGTTTCTTAGTGTACATCTGCCCTTGTCAGAGAAAAGTGAAAGGTAAGGCAGGTCAGAACCACGCACCCCAATTTGCAGTCAAGTGGCACCAGCTCTCTCTTCAGGCTGCTGACAGATACTAAAGTGTAAAGCCATCGAAGACACAATAGTTTCCACACCAGAACCAAGTAAAAATTCAGTAAAGGGAAGATTTGAGCTTCCCTTCTTATGGAAGTGTTGGAGCACTGTGAAGAGGCCATAAGGAACTCCAGCTTACATTTAACACTATATTCGTGTTAGAGGTACAAAGTGGAGCAAAGCTAAGAATAGAAGGGATAATTATTAATATAAATAGCTTGCTGCAGGAATAAGGGGGGTTTGGGTGCCTCGTGCTTGCCTTATGTGAGGTCCAGCCTTTGAAATGTGCAGTATTAACTCTCTGCTCTTTGTCTTTTTGTGTGTGTGATAAGCCCTGAAAGTGCTGGGGGGAGTTACTTAGTTGTGTTCAGACTCTTTATGAAATAAGCAAAACTCTCCTTGGATATTGAAACATTTTATGAAAACAGTGAGAAAAGCATCGGTGATTATTGGCTCTGTTGCTGAGTCTTGTTCTGGGGGTCAGAGATGTGTCCCGTGGGGGGAATCTCATTGTCTCTGCTGGCTGAGGCGAGGTCTGGGAGCAGAGGGCCCTGATCTCTCGAGCTGTGGGCTCCACAAGGTCTGAGTGGCTGAGTTACAGAGTGCAGTGGCAGCTGCACAGGCCTGCAGAATCCTCAGGCAGCATTTCTGGAACAGAATGGGAAGTTGGGATATACTCTGCTTTATCTTGCCTGGTGGGTCCCCTGCCACCTTCAGAGTTTTACCCCATTCATCTCACACAGAAAGGTAGCTGTTAAGATGAGGTTTGAAAGAAAAACTCTGACAGTGCTGCTATTGTTGTCTGAATTCTCAGGGAGACTGAAGGGAGAGCTTCAGTTCACTCCATCAGCAGCTTCAGCTTCCAGGCTGGAATTGCCAGCAGCGTTTTCTCTGGTGTTCAGGTTTATGTGTGACCTTACAAAGTCCCATGGTCTGACTGCTGGACAGGTGAAGGAAAGGAGCCTCAAAGTTCAGCTCCTTGGTGTCTGACAGCAATACTGCAGGTGTGCTGGGGTTCTGTTTTTAACAGTGTCAGTGAGAAGCGGTGTTTGCTCTTGGTGTGTATTGGAAACTCGCAGTTTGAACACCTGGCCAGGTGTAAGTTGGGTGTGCTTTGGTCTGAATGCACCAAACCTGTTCAATGGCATCCGTGAAACAGTTCAGAAAACAGGTTTTTCAGGGTAGCCAGGGTCGATGGACTGTTCTGTAAATCAGTAAACCTGCTGTATGCTGTGACTGGTTTTAATGACAAAAGGGATTGTAGAATTTAGGTCTTGTGTTACTAGTGATTACTGAGGATAAAAATGGGCTTAAGAAAGACTTGAGTTTCGGGTTTTGGGGTTACCTGTACAGCAGTGGGGATGTCCCTGGGGTCTGCCCTTCTCTGATCCAGGGAGCAGTGGTTCTTGCCCAGAGTGAACCCCCAGAACTGATGCTCTGGTTGTTTGGTGAGACAGGAGAAACCCTGCCCTTTTCAGCTGGGAGAGGGAGGTGTGTGCATGGGCAGCCAGAGGAGCGTCCAGTGGGCAAGTGTGGATCTCCACTGAGTGGGTGTTTTCCTGCTTTGCTTTTTTCTCAGCCTGGAAGTGATGGATTGGGTGTAAACTCTGCCCTGTGCAGCCCTGACATCACAGCGAGGTTGAGTCTGGCCTTGTGCTCCTCAGACTGGGCAGAAATAGCCACAAGAGTTTAGGTACACAGGGGTTGGCACCTCCCTGAACTGCAGGTGACAGGAGCTCACCCCAGTGGGCTGAGCATCCCTTCTGGGATAAAGGATTCCTTGGAATTGCCAGGGGGATGTCCTGATAGCAGTGTCTGTGGAAGTGGTTTAACAGTAAAGGCTATGAGACAAAGGAATTTGTGAGTAAACCCAGCCTGAAGGGCTTCCCTGCTTTTGTAGGAAAAGGATTAGGAGAGGCTGTTCCTGAGTAACTTCACCTATTCAAGATCCTGGAGAAGATCATTTATCTGGAAGTAGTGATTCATTTCATTTGCCTGTGAACTCCCCATGAAATACAGGAATCTGAGCTCCAAAAAGGTCACAGGAAAATGAAGTTCTCAGGAAAAGTATTGTGACTGTCAGATATAGAAATCAGGAACATCCATGTGTTAAAAGTTATATTCTGTTAAAAATACCATCTGTGTACAGGGAGCTCTTTGTGTGGCTGACAGTAAGAAGGCCCAGGATCTGGGCTTGAATGTTAAAAATCAGCTCTCAGAGAGAGTTGAGTTTCACAAGCTGCCAAATGCCTGTTCTGGTGGTTCCCCAGGTAAGGTTTTTAAGACAAACCTGCAAGAAAGGAGATATTTTATGTTCCAGAGTGTGTTGATCAAGATATTTCACCTAAGGGAAGTACAGACAGGGCTTCCTATGGTGGATTTCAGTGTGATTCAGGAGCTGTCTGATAACCTGACGAGGTTAGCTGTGTCATTAAGCTGAAATGCTTCGTTATGTTGTGAAGTGTGAGTGCTGTTTTAATTCCCAGGTGTATCAGTGTCAAGTCCTGAGGTTTCAGTGTATTCCAGCCAGGGCTGTTGTGTTTTCTGAGCCTGTCAGACATTCCTGTAGTGTCTTTGCTGCTGTTTTCTTTCAGCTGGGAATTCCCAGTTCCAAACAGTGCTGGACGAGAGGGAAGTTCACAGGGCTGGTTTTTTTGGCCTCACAGGTCATGTGTTTCAGCTGGAACAACGCCAGCTCAGGGCTTGTCAAGGTAGAGTGATTAAATGTCATTAAATGTCACATACATCCTGGTTTTCTGGAATACTTCCTCCTGCTGGCTCGCTCCACTGCCCGACTTCCAGAGGGCAGGTGTGGTGTTGTTACTGAAAAGCCCTTGTGTGGGTGGGTGGGTGGGTGTCTCAAACCAAAACTGCTCTTTTCGGGTGTGCTGGGCCCCTGAAATTCCTGGTTCTGGGAGCGTCCTGC